CAGCTCCTTTTGGAATCACAGAACTCTGGAATCACTAAGGCTGGAAAGGCCCTCTAAGGTCATCAAATCCAGCCATTAACCCAGCACTGCCAAGGCCACCACTAACCTGTGTCCCCAGGTGCCACATCCATGTGGTTTTTAGTATTTCCAGGGGACAGTGACTGTCCTGCACAGCCCATTCCAATGCCTGACAACGTTTTCAGTGAATAAATTCTTCCTGATGTGCAAACTGAACCTCCCCTGGGGCAGTGTGAGGCCTTTTCCTCTGGTGCTGTGCCTTGTTCTCTGGGAGCAGAGCCCCACCTGGCTGTTAAGGAGTTGTAGAGAGGGAGATGGTGCTGCCTGAGCCTCCTTTTCTCCTGGCTGAGCCCCACCTCAGCTGCTCCTCATATGTGCTCCAGACTTTTCCCCAGCTCCATTCTCTGGACATGCTGCAGCCCCTCAATGTCATTTTTGTCAAGAGGGGCCAGAACTGGACACAGAATTCCAGGTGCCTCCCCTGGGTTGTGTATATAGGACTCCACCTTTCATGCACATGGGAGAACATGGTGGGAGATCTCTGAGTGAGCTTTCAGGAGAGATTTGGCTGCATGTTGGTCCTGCTGGGACTGGGAATTGGAACCCATTTCAGGATGCAGTAAAACCTTAATCTGCAGCCTAATCTCTGGGTACTGCATCTGTGCAAAAATGGCAAAAATGACAGATGAAAGGGCTGTGAAGGGAGGGTTGGGACAGCAAAGGCCACTGCACAGAGGCAGCTGGTCTGCAGAGGAATCAGAAATCATTGCTGAGGCCCCAGGATGTGCCAAGTTCTGGTGCTGGACTGACTGGAGAAGGAAGACAGCGGGTGAGGGACCTGGTAGAGAGCAGGGACCTGAGTGGGGGTCTGGCCCTGGGGTATGGGCAGGATGTGGGTCCTGATCACCTGAGCAGTGTTCCCAAGGGAACAGAGCAAATGCTGTGGGCACCTGCTGAGATGCAAAGCAAATGTGTCAGGGTCAAGCTCACAACACAGGAACAGCCAGGAGCAGCTGTGAGAGCAACAAAGCCACTGCAGCCCCCAGGGCTCACACCTTCAACCCCCTCCTTGTGGGGCACAGCTCTGTGCCCTCCTTGATGCCCTGCTCCCTCCTCACGTGGAAACTTCTTATCTCGCCCATCACTGCAGCCAGGCTGGGCTGGAGATGCTGATAAGCTCAGGCCATATTAGAAGGGGACAGGTTGAAAGGCAGGCACAAGCCCAGAGGAAATCTGACAGCACAGCCTCATTCCAGCAGCAGCCGTGCTGCCAGCCAAAGGCTCAGCTCAAGGGCACAGCCAGGGCCAAGGTGAAAGCCTTTGCTGGCAGCAGGCACTGGAGGCAGGGCTGGATCACAGGCAGGAAAATCAAACCTCAGAAGTGGCAGCTTGCTGCTAAGCTGGCCAACACAGGCTAACCAGCTTCCCCTTGAGCTCTCCAACAGCACCAATAGCTCAGTTTTAGTGCTAATCACAGCATCCCACAGCAGGTCTGACTCTGACTCAGGGCTCTCAGGCTGGAGGCAGACCCACCCTGGGCCATGGGGAGCAGCAATGCCTCAGCAAGGGGAGCTGAGCGGCTCCAGGGGCCACCACAGCCCAGCAGGTGCCAGGTGCAGCAGGGAGGGAGGGTCACAGCCAGGATCCTGCTGAGCAAGGCACAGAATGGCTGCATCCTCCCTCCAGCCAGGGCTGGGGCCTGGCTCAGCTTAGACACAGCAAAGCAGGGCTTCTCCCAGCCCTCCCTCACATCCCAGCTGGTTTCCCATCAGAAATCCCAGAGGCCACCAGCAGTGACCCATCCATGCTGCCCCACACAGCACTGAGCCTTGGTGTGTGACCTGAGGGCTGAGCTCCCTCACAGACCCTCTGAGGGCAGGGGCTCAGCTTCCACCATCACCTAGAAAAACTCATCTTCAAGGAATCCCAGAATGGGTTGGGGTGGAAGGGACCTTAAAGCTCATTTCACTCCACCCCTGCCATGGCAGGGACACCTTCCACCATCCCAGGCTGCTCCAAGCCCCATCCAGCCTGGCCTGGAACATTCCAGGGATCCAGGGGCAGCCCCAGCTGCTCTGACCACCCTGTGCCAGGGCCTCAGCACCCTCACAGGGAACATTTCCTTCTCAGCAGCCTGAGAATATAAACCTCCTCTCTGCCATGTTGTCCTGCAGCTGGTGAGGCTGGCCATGGGTTCACCTCTCTGGAGGTGACAGCAGTGACTGAGCACAGGGCTCTGCTGCCCTCACATGTTTTTTACCAACACCCACATTTTCCAAGTCAGCCTTGCACTAAGTGGCACTTTTCAAGTGCTGTGATTGTGTTGCAAGAAAGGCCCTTGCACTCACTCACACAGCGTTTTCTTTTCTCTTTTCTTTTCTTTTCTTTTCTTTTCTTTTCTTTTCTTTTCTTTTCTTTTCTTTTCTTTTCTTTTCTTTTCTTTTCTTTTCTTTTCTTTTCTTTT